GTGTGTGTGAGAGTGAGTGAGTGTGTCTGTGTGTGTGTGTGTGTGAGTGTAAGTGTGTGTGTGAGTGAGTGTGTGTCCGTCAGACGTCACTGTGCTCTTCTCAACGCACACACACACACTCTCACACTTGCACACACACTCACACTCGCGCACACTCACACACACACACACTCGCACTCGCGCACACTCACACACACACACTCACACTCGCGCACACACACTCAAACTCTCACTCTCACACACACACTCACAGACACACACACACACACACACACACTCTTACACCTTCATGTATAATTTGTCCACATGTGTTCTGTGTGTGTGTGTGTGTGTGTGTAGATCAGGAGCTGAGCAGTCTGGGATATAAGAAGGGGAAGCCGGTCGGTCTGGTGGGCGTGACGGAGCTGTCAGACGAACAGAAGAAACAACTCAAAGAACAACAGGAAGTATGAACACACACAATTACCCATAAACCCCATAAACTGTCAATCATGTCGTCATCAGTCACTGCATCACTCAGGCAGCACGGCAAATGTAGAACAAATATAATTTTCATGAGATTTAATTAAATCTCAGGAACTTCTTTACCATTTTACCCCACAATGTTACAGATAAGTTTAGCCTCATAAAAATATCAAGTACATTTTATTTGTGTAGCACTTTTCTCAATACACATTGTTTCAAAGCAGCTTTATGGAAAATCATGATGTTTATGTTTACATTTGTGAAGATAATTGAGTTTTGCTATGTAGTATATATCGCTTTACGTCAGTGTAAGATCGGCATGTATAAATGTGTGTGTGTGTGTGCATCAGATGCAGGAGATGTTCGACATGATCATGAAGCACAAGCGTGCGATGCAGGACATGCAGCTGTTGTGGGAGAAAACCATCAAAAACCACCAGCACGAGTACGACAGCGATGAGGAGCTGGATCCTGAGGACGGAACCTGGGAGCATCGGCTCAGACAGATGGAGATGGAGAAGACCCGAGGTCAGAGGTCACCGCCGGACACACAGCGACTGAATACACATTCATGATGTGCTGCTTTTGAGGTTTAATGCATGACACATGCGTGACGTGATGTGTGTGTGTGTGTGTGTCACAGAGTGGGCGGAGCAGCTGACGGACATGGGCAAAGGGAAGCACTTCATTGGTGACTTCCTGCCTCCGGATGAGCTGGAGAAGTTCATGGAGACGTTTAAAGCTCTGAAGGTGAGACTGATCACGTCATGTGATCTGACACCCACAGAACCTGTTTGAAAACAGGTCAGAGTTCTTGCTTTTGTTCCTCTTTGGATTAAAGCGTCTGTTAGATACATAAATGTGATGCAGAATGAAGTAGGAAGCAGCTGGTGATTGTGAAGGTGTGACGTGTGTGTATTTCCTGTCGTGCAGGAGGGCAGAGATCCAGATTACTCCGAGTACAAAGAGTTCAAGCTGACGGTGGAGAACATCGGCTTCAAGATGCTGATGAAGATGGGCTGGAAGGAGGGCGATGGTCTGGGCTCAGATGGACAGGGCATCAAAAACCCCGTCAACAGGTGAATGGACACACA